CGGAGGGCTCTGAAAGCGCTTGGATTTTCTAATCGAAGAATAAAATTTATTTGTAATTTGTGCAGTAAGACGTCTCTGCGAAGCAGCTACATCATCTGGTTGCGGCGTCAACAAAAACACTGGTCGGAAGATCCACTTTTCTGAGGTACTGTATGTGGGGCTCCGTTTATTGAGGTGCGTTGAAATTTATTCTCTTTATCTTATTATTTCTTTTCTATAATTTCCCCATATGAGTTCCTATCAGTTGCTGTGAACACCTTGAGTGGAGAGCGCTTGCTCGAGCGTTGAACCGGGTTCTTAATCCACCATACCCAGTTCGCAAGGCTGGGCGGGGTTGTGAGCAGGCTTTCATTTCATCTTTTCTTATTATTTCTTATTATTTCTGCTTTTCATCTCATTACAAAAATTCTGCGCTTTTTCTCCATCTGCGCATAAAATCTAGACTGACAACCTGCTTGTTAAATCATGCACCTGCTTTCAGGCGTAAAAACCCTGTTGTAGAGGTCTCAGTCCTCATTTGTTAGACTTACCTGTCTTTATAAATGTAACTTACTCCAGTTCCAAAAAATTACGCCTCGGCGTTTTCACAGGCTTTTGAGATTAGCTCTCTCCTGAGTCTTTTAAATTGCTTCAAGTTCAAATAGGAAAAATGCCACCCATGGGCTCCGAAAGGGGGAGGAGGATGAAGCCCTAGACACTACGCACGCACCACACGAACACTCTGTGTCCCTGGACGATTCTGCTGCGCCATATGACGATCCGTTGGGTTTGACCTCAAGCCAGCGGAAGCACTCCAGTACACGGCATGACACAGGTGAACATCATACATGTCCGAAATGTCACACCACCATCAAACAAGAACATAACCTTGCACGACATATGCGGACTAACAAATGCAAAACATTGGCTGCATCGCAGGCTGGAGCTGTGTCAGCAGTCTCTGCATCACCACCACACGAGACTCCAATGACTTTAGAGGCAAGTACACCAACCATTACACCATCAGACCGGGAAACAACATGTCCACACTGTTTGAGAAAACTCAAATGGAAACAAAACTTGCCACGACATCTACAGACCTGCCCGGTCTACAAATCACTTTCAACCACCTCAGCCAAAGCAGACGGCAGTAGCGGGGATGGTCGGACGACTTCCATGATTGATTCAATGCACTTCAGCCCATCTGTAGGTCAGACAATGACTCCTGGAGATGAATTGCGAACAATCCCGCACGAATCCACTCCCTGTCATAATGAGTCTTTACTTCATGTCCTGAATCAACGGGACATGGACAAGGTAGAAGTCCGGCAGTCCCTACTGCTACCGTCAGCCAAAAACACCAAGGCATGGCACACAATAAACGCTCAGTTGAAGATCCATCTCACTCAACATTTCCCAACCTCATACCTCAAAAACACTAACATCGAAGAGACTCTGGACAAACTAGAGAACTTCATTCACTGGTTTTTCGACCAGAAACCACCACCACCTCCACCAAAACACAAGAATGCAAATAAAAACCGTGCAGTGGAAAAACTCCGGGCTCACAGGCGTGATTTAAAGCGCCAATTTCGTAAGATCAAAAACCCGGACGAAGTACCTGCAGCGCTCAGAAATGAGTATTTTTCAATTGGAAAACAAATCAAGCGTCTTTTGAAACAACAAAAGATGTACGACGATCGATCCCGGAACAAGAGGGACCAGGATGCCTTTCTCAAGGACCCATATGCCTTCGGAAAGAAATTGTTTCAACCAACCAACCATGTCAAACCCACTTTCTCTGACACTACCTGCTTTGAGTACTTCCAACACACATATGCAGACCAGGATCGTGCCACTTCGTACGAATCCTGCCCCAGTGCAGGGAAGCCCCGGGATTGCACCCACCCAGTCGATGAGGGGACCCCTACATGGACTGAATTTCAGAATGTTTTGAAGAAGTGTCGCAACACCTCTGCACCGGGTCCTGACAAGATACCTTACATAGTTTGGAAGCTTTGTCCCTCCCTTCAATCCATTCTTTTCACCATCTTTGGGCGGGTTTGGGAGAGCAAGATCATTCCAAGGCAGTGGCAGGTAGCGTGTATCACACTCCTGGCCAAGGGGGAGGTGTCTGATGATCCTTCGAAATTCCGACCGATTGCTCTAGCGAACACGTCCGGGAAGATCTTTTTCACCTTAGTTGCAAAGCGCCTCTTGAAACATATGCTAGGCAATAAGTTCTTCGATGGTGACAACCAGAAAGGATTTATGCCTGCAAAGGCTGGGTGCTTAGAGCATACATCACTTTGTTATGAGGCGATGCGTGATGCAAAGACGGCAAAACGCCAAATTTGCATTGCGTGGATAGATTTGAAGAATGCATTTGGTTCAGTGCGCCACAATCTGATACAGTATGCTCTAACCCACTACAGCCTTCCTTTGCAATTCAGGAAATTAATTTTTTCCTACTACGACAGTCTTTGCGCTTTCGTCGTACAACCACACACACCCACCTTTAATTACAACATTGGTGTTTTCCAGGGGTGCCCCTTGTCCCCGGTCCTTTTCAATATTTGTTTCCAGCTTCTGCTGGACTCACTTGCAGCCCCTGAATTAAGTTGCCTCTCCTATGATTTTAAATCTGCCCCTTTGCAAGTGTCCCAAACAGCTTTTGCTGATGACTTAGGCCTCTATAGCAAATCTAGTGCAGGTTGTCAAAAACTCATTGCGGTCACGGAGGACTTTCTCTCGTGGACCCAATGTATGCAGGCGGCGCCGCACAAATGCAAAAGCAGTGCAGCAAAGCTTGTAGATGGCCGGTACAAACCTTACGATCCCTGCCTGACAATGTCAGGGAGGAAGATCGCTTTCATTGACACTGCAGAGTTCAAGTTCCTGGGGCGAAGGCTGCATGCTGATTGCTCTGAGCAGACCCAGCGGGAAGACATCCGTCAACTCACTGTATCTCTCATGCAAAAAGTAGATGGCTCTTGGCTTCAAGACCACCACAAGCTATGGCTTTACCACCATCTTGTAGTGCCCAAGCTTTCTTGGTCTTTCCAGGTTCTTGAACTCACACAAGGTTTTGTACGTGAACTGCACTTTATGTGTTTACCATTTCTGAAGAAATGGTCAGGCCTACCTCGATGCGCAAACTCTGCCATTCTTTTTATTGGCAGTCGCAAACGCTTTGGCTTACGCCTCCACTACCTTCCTACGGTGTGGAAAAAGTGCCAGTCCATCAAATGGCACATTCTTCGATCGAGTGGGGACGCGCGCATGAGGGCGCTGTACACTCTGCGTCGGAGTAAGGATGCGAAGCTGACAAAGCGATATGCGGCGACAATAGAGCTGGAGTGTGCAGAGGCATCAGTAGGTTCAGGGACTCTCCGTCCACCGTCATCTTCAAGTCATCGTGCAGGGTTGGGTGCTCCTGCTCCGAAGCAGCATTCCAAACCCCCGAGGAAGGATCTCCTTCAAACATTTGAGGAGATCAACGCGCAGGAGCAGATTTTGAGGCTGAAGACTCTTCAGGTGCAAGGCAAGTGGTTGGAGTGGACATCGGTGATGTGGCAGGACCTCTCGTGGAAATCCCTTTTGTACGGTGGTACTGGTAAGGATTTGAAATTTCTTCTCGCATCAACCCTCGACGTGCTACCTTCTCCGACGAACCTACGCCGTTGGGGAAACACCGTAGTGGATCCGTACTGTAGTTTGTGCCGTACCTGGGCCTGTACTACGCGCCACGTGCTTGGCGCTTGTCGCGTAGCGCTGGACCAGGGACGTTACACCTGGAGGCACGACAACGTACTCGGGGTCATCGTCAGGAACATGCGTGAGGAGATTCGAATCCGCACTGCTGCAAACACCGTACAAACCGAAAATTCAAATGAGCTTGACTTCATCTCGTTTTGCAAGGCGGGAGAGAAGCCAGTTCGCGTTCAGCCCAGACGAAAGTTGGTTACGACTGATCTCCTGTCAGCGGCCTCAGACTGGAAACTTCTTGTCGACTCAGTTAGTGCAAAGATTTCTTTCCCTAGCTGTGTTGCACTTACCACCCTAAGACCAGATATGGTTCTGTACTCTACGAGTCGTAGGATTGTATTCTGGATGGAGTTGACAGTTTGTGCTGAGGACAGATTCAGTGTCAGTAACTCGCGGAAGGACAGGCGGTATGCGGATCTGGCCGATCAATGCCGAGCAAACGGGTGGCAGGTCGTTTCTTTTTCGGTTGAGGTAGGTGTGCGTGGTTTCATCCCGGACTCTCTTCGGAGGGCTCTGAAAGCGCTTGGATTTTCTAATCGAAGAATAAAATTTATTTGTAATTTGTGCAGTAAGACGTCTCTGCGAAGCAGCTACATCATCTGGTTGCGGCGTCAACAAAAACACTGGTCGGAAGATCCACTTTTCTGAGGTACTGTATGTGGGGCTCCGTTTATTGAGGTGCGTTGAAATTTATTCTCTTTATCTTATTATTTCTTTTCTATAATTTCCCCATATGAGTTCCTATCAGTTGCTGTGAACACCTTGAGTGGAGAGCGCTTGCTCGAGCGTTGAACCGGGTTCTTAATCCACCATACCCAGTTCGCAAGGCTGGGCGGGGTTGTGAGCAGGCTTTCATTTCATCTTTTCTTATTATTTCTTATTATTTCTGCTTTTCATCTCATTACAAAAATTCTGCGCTTTTTCTCCATCTGCGCATAAAATCTAGACTGACAACCTGCTTGTTAAATCATGCACCTGCTTTCAGGCGTAAAAACCCTGTTGTAGAGGTCTCAGTCCTCATTTGTTAGACTTACCTGTCTTTATAAATGTAACTTACTCTCTCTCTCTCTCTCTCTCTCTCTCTCTCTCTCTCTCTCTCTCTCTCTCTCTCTCTCTCTCTCTCTCTCTCTCTCTCTCTCTCTCTCTCTCTCTCTCTCTCTCTCTCTCTCTCTCTCTCTCTCTCTCTCTCTCTCTCTCTCTCTCTCTCTCTCTCTCTCTCTCTCTCTCTCTCTCTCTCTCTCTCTCTCTCTCTCTCTCTCTCTCTCTCTCTCTCTCGCTCTCTCTCGCTCTCTCTCGCTCTTCTCTCTCTCTCTCTCTCTCTCTCTCTCTCTCTCTCTCTCTCTCTCTCTCTCTCTCTCTCTCTCTCTCTCTCTCTCACTCATCTGCGGGCACTTTTACATTTATGAGGCTGTGAGGTCGTACTATGGTACGGTAGTCTTGAACCCTAGTTGTTTGGCCTTTGTTTTTGGGTACTCATTCCAAATCACCACAGTAACGCCGTATACTCACCGGATACTCGCGGGAGCTCTGGCCACCACCCGCGGCCGTGTGAACTGCGGCCTCACGTTTCACTTCCTGCGGGCACTTGACAAACGTGGATTTGCCTGTCGTGTGAATCGCCTATAAGGGCCTGGTCAGACTGCGGCAACTTTTGGTTGCCTGACGAAAAAAGAACAGCGTCCAGAATTTGAATCGCGATCACACTACACATGTGGGGAGAATGAAAATTCAAACTTCATTTCGAGCGTCAAGTGGTAATCTCCACGAACGACGTCAAATTCCTTCACCTTGGGATCGCCAACACCTTCAGTGCAATCCTTGCAACCATCCTTATGAGTTTTGTTGTTGTCCGTGGCCAATTAGCTCCTCGATATCGAGATGAAAAAATCAGTGATTATCAGCGTCAATGGCGTATCAGCGTCAAATCCTGTTTGGAGCGGAAAAGCGTGGCCCGTTCTTGCTTTTTTTTTGGAGCGTCAACTCTCGCTTTTGCCGCTCTGGCGGCAAGTTACTATGGAGATTCGGATTATAATCCTCGGATTATTTCGATTTTGCCGCAGTCTGACCAGGCCCTTAGGCCCAGACAGATCCTGCCGGCAATTCATTCGGCAAAGTATCGAAGAATTGAAAGAGCGGAAATTGCCCTGTCAAAATCGGAACAAAATATTGAGATGTTGGGTAAAATTGATGCCTGATACTTGGATTTCCTTGTTTCTTACGGTGCCCGTTCAGCAGGATACAGTGCCCTAGATCTAGGACGAGATCATATCACCGAAATATCACTGGGATTCACTGTGGATCGACATCATTAATTTTTTGGAAGAACTCAGGGACACGTGCGTGGAAACTCGTGACGGGCCGTGTTGAGAAACCGTACCCTACGATTTTTATGAAATGTTGTACGGGATTGTACGGGAAGTGGATAAAATCCACGTTTTTCCGGAGCAAAATGAAGCAAAATATCGAGTTGCTTGTGCCAGGCTCGGCAAAATATCGAAGATTTCGCAGCAACATTTTGCGGCAACATATCGTGGCGAGCGGAGCAGAATCTGTCTGGGCCTAATGCCGCTACCCTGTTCAGCGTGGTACCCGCCCTCCCCTCCCCCCCCCCCCCCCCTCTTTCCCAACCTGTACTCTCTTGTACCATCATCCTTCACTGCAACGGACCCCATGCACGATAGGCAGTCAGCCTTTGGGTCATCCTAGCAAAGTTTTTATTATTATTAAAAATAGGTGTGTGCGGGAAAACACTTTTTCCGTATTTCCGCCAACGACAGCCCTGAGTCGTTCATAAGGGAGTCTTATCACATGGCACGTGATTGTTGCTCGTACTCCAGCGAATCAGCACCTTTCGCGCCGCGGGCAATAATATGCGATATTGCCCGCAAAAAATAGTTAATTTGCCCGCAAAAAATAGTTTATTTCAGTGACCGCGTGACTGCGCGTGTACGACGACTCTGTAGACTGTACGACTCTACGACGAGTCGCAGTGTAGCATTGAGACGAAGATGGAATTCTTTTTGAAGATGGACGTCCCAGCAATGGACATGCCTCGGACGTCTGCCGTGTGGTGCTTGCAGAGATCATTTGTTCAGTCATGTTGGCAGCCTGACCGTGGGTAAGCTTGTGGATAAGATTCAGTTCTGCTCGATGTGGTACTGTGATCACAAACAATTATTTGAAATAACACAAATTCAACTCAGCATCGTGCGTTTCAGATCCTCGCAAAGTCCCTGCTTGTGTGTGGTCTTCATGTGCCACGCAGAACTCCTACCAGGCTCATCTGTCCTCTGCCTTCACCTTTGCTTGAACAACAAACACAACAATTCAGAAATGTTTTGCAATGAAAAATACAGCTAGCTGGAGCTAAAAAAAAAGAAGAAAATTTGTCCTCAGAATTACACACCAGGCCAGGGAGTCGTCAAATACTTGCAGTACTGTATTTGACAACTTCCTGATACACATGCAAACATGAAGAGACTCTTTGTGGTAACACTCTTAATTTTTCAACTGAAATTATGATTCTGCTGTGTTTTATTGTGGTTGCCATGTGTACTGCTATGACGATGCCTGCCGACACTTTCTTTCTGTCTCCGTCTTTCAGTACTGTATACTCTATGATGGCCTGTAGCAGACTTTTTGTTAGGATGTAGGAGTGTTATCAGGGCCGGATCCCCGATAATAGAACCATAATAACAGCAGGACTGGCTGTGAGAGGAAGGTTGTTATTATCAACTCAAACACTGGTAGTGATCGTTTAGTAAGAAAAAAGAACAACCAACGTTACTTGTTTCTAACACAACTGAACAAAAAGGAAATGGCCGCATGAGCACTACCTCATGCACTGCATGATGCAGTGAGCGAGCGCATGCGTGAGAATGTGCAGTGAAGCGAGTAACACTGTAGTACAGGTATTGCAGAAGCATGCACAGACCAGATCTACTAAGAACAATACATGCACGTGTCATGAGCAGTACAGTGAGACTTCACGCTACAGTGGTCCGCGTGAAAAGGAGAAATATCTTCATTTTTTTCTGTTTTGATAATGATAGCACATCAATATACATTGTGTTCATAATGTGTTGGCATTTGGGCTAGTTTCAACCCAATGGTCTGCTCTGGGCCATGTGATAAATTTGTTATCCCATGGTTGCCGCGGGCCTTATGGCATATTATCGCCCCTCGAGGTTAGCCCTACGGCCCTCGGGGTAACCTCTCGGGGAAATAACATGCCACAACAGTCCGTGCGCCAAGGGGTACTCAAGGGCTGATTTTATTTGCAACCGCGGGAAACGAAGTCACCAAGACGCCTTCATTTGAGGCTTTTGGAATTGGAGAATCTATTGAATTTAGGTATGGCTCTCGTCCCTTCTAGAGAACTAACCAAGACCCTGTGGGGGCAAAAGGAGACTTATTTGGCTCCGTGAATACACTAGCTATGCGGTGGTCTAGTTAGTTTGAGTGTGTGGTTCGTATTCGTATTCAAAGTGTTCCAAGCCGCAGTTCACTCGAAGGTCATCGTGGATACGTCTGCACTTGAAAATCAAGGCTGGAAAGGACTGCCTGGTGTGTCCGAACGGTATGTTTTGCACTGAAGGCATTTTTTGTATGAATTGTTGAAAGTGTCTACTTGTTCGAAATGCAAAAGAGATGGTCGTAGATCCTTGGCCCACAACGCCCCACTAAATAAACTATGACCTGTCGTGAAATTATGTGAAATTGGTCAACACAATCATCCATAAATTATCCTATGCCAAAGTACTGCAAATGCAAATAATGGCATCCCTTTACCTAGGTCATGTTTGTAGGGCCTTATGTCACATCTTTGCATGATTTCCTCATGCAAATCGTGTGCCTAGCTTCGAAAACACATTGCACTAAGGGCCGAATATATACCTGTGAATCAGAACAACAGCACTCACTATTGCTTTCATGAGTGGTAATGGTCAGCTTTTTTATTTTTTATTTATTTTTATTTTTTTAGCTGAAAGGAAACTTTTATCCATCAACTCATAAGTAAAGTAATGACTAATCTCCTTGCTGCGCATGTGGTTCCTTCGTATTTACATGTACCGTAAAGTACCGCCAGAGTGCCCCACCATCTCGTCCTTTCGGGGTCGTATTGTGGAGGTGGTCTCCTGTCTGTGCTAGAGACTTTTATTACAAAGCACGAAGAAGTGTAAAAACAACAGAAAAATGATAAAGCACCCATTTTGATAATCCAGGGGATGGCCCACGCCTGGTACTGCCACTGCATTATAAATCATACGTAATGACTGATAAAAGGTGTGAAGCAAACTAATAACAAAAGTGTAAATGAAAATTGCTGTTAGACCACACGAATGCCAAGTCACACTGCAAGAGCTAGTGCCCTGGAATCACTGCCTCCGCAGCAACAAGAGAAGCAGGGGTGGTAGAGTCGACGGAGACCTTGAGGCTGCGGGATCCACGGAGACACATGACGCTCGCCCGGAGGAGCGCAAAGCTCTCCTGTCTGTAGGTTATACGACACGAACTTTGTACACATATTGCACGCTCTGCAGACAATCCGTACCTTCGAGCGGAAACGAGCTCCACACAAAAACCTGCTTAGTGTGACCTTAGTACACTAAGTTGCTCACACCGTACGAACTTTGCTGCACTCTGCCATACGATTTTCCTTTCCCTGGCTGTAAAATCTGTCGCGGCATGGGTGGGGCGCTCTCGCGGTACATTACGGTATGTGCGCCTCTCTGTGTTCGGTGAATGATTTTGAATATTTGCACACGACTTCAGGATAGTGCACATTGTGTGGATGTACCTGCGTATGTAATCCTTTCATGATTTAAAAATTAGGAGCCGTGTTTCTCATCACCGTGGACAAGTAAATGTCGGCCAATTACGTAGCGTTTGGAGACTTGCACAAGTACAGTTGCGTGTCAATTATGCGGCACCCGCGGAATAAAATGAATATTCTGGACGACTGAAGCTACAAAGCCATCTTGTGTTAACAGATCAAAAAGACAGTACTTCGAAGTACCTGTATTTATCACTAGTATTACCCTGAGATAGTCGTGCTCATCTCTAGAGACTGGCTTGTATTTAACTCAACGTAATGGCAACTTTCATGATGCTGACTGTCTACATTTACTTGAAGTAGGACTATAAATACTAAATAATAAGGTCTATAAGCTGTCAGTGCGGTGCTGTTGGATACCCGACATGCCATGTGACTGACCGCCAGATAAACGACTTACGATTGTACTGGTCACAGTGTAGCTGGGTTTTCACGAAAAAATGAAACTTAT